ACATGGAAGTTTTGTCGGTCTGGATCTCCGCAAATCTTGTAATTTCACATACTTATTCACTATTCCATCATGCCTGCAGGAACAGACGTGGAATGGTTTATAGGGTCTTCGTTTTATTTTGATATCGACATTTATTTTGCTTTTTAGATCCAAAATTTTCCGGACTACATGACATGGTATATGTGTTTTATAAACGCATTTTCCCTCTACTTTGGTATGTTTCCAAAATCATTTATATGGCCACTCTGCTTGCAAATTAATTTAACAGCAATTGAAATTTTATGACTTTCCCTATCACGAAACTAAAGAAATCTTATTCACTATTCATACATGGCGCATACTGCTTTTTTGTAACAATTTCAATCATTGGTTACAAATTAATATTTGCATATATACTTATTAAACATCTATATTTCCATCTTATTGCTTAATTAAAAGTCATCTCAACTGATTCAGACTGAAACTATAGGAGCGACTGTATTATATCGTTCTTGCTTTATAGGCCTACTTCATAGTACATATGTCCGTAGCCTACACTACAGTGATTACATTAGGCATCATAAATATATCTTGCCAAAATAAACCATTTAAAAAAAAGAAAGAAATAAGATTCGACGTATTCCATGATATTCTTGTTATACAACCATATATACTTGCTATAAAATATGTTACGATAGGGCCTAGATATATACTAAAAGTAACATATGGTTAACAAAATCAATATAATCTGATAGAACAGTCTAGAATTTTAGAATTTATCCCGATTTGGCTTTCTTTCAATTATATACTACTATTTAAGACACTGGCGAGTGTTAAGATTATTCATATATGGATTTTGGCACACTTGTGCTGTATAAGATTCTGTATATTTAACTTGTATACACTGCTTCATTTAGAGTAGCCACTTCATTCAATAACGATTGATTATAGATGACGTATAATATATATATATATACATAATTATATGAAAAGTTAAAAATAACTACACTTAGGTAACGAAATGTTGTTTACCTGAAGAGCGTAATAAAATAAGCGAAAGTGCTCGTAATCGACAAATAATGTAGTTCTTTTATATTTTTGTATACATAATTATATATTATATATGTATAATTGATCACCTTGTTAGATATGGTAATGTATTTCTACATGTATTTACACGTGTATGCCTATATTTCTAATTGCGCACATTTGCAGCTTAGATTGAGAGAGATAGAGTGGGAGAGAAAAAGGCACAATCGACTTTATATAATAGCTAAAACAAGAGGCATCTATCGCCAAAAAGTAGATTTCAAAGTTTATCTCCAGAACAATGAAAAATCATCATTTTTCTCAGTCCCATTGTCAACCTTCCATCTTCCCTCGCCACCTGCATTTAAATTGGTTTAATTTAATCTGTATTCTTTCGAGAGTCTGGAAGACTTAACAAATAATGCATTAAATGGTTAGTTAATTGAACCTACTGATTTGCAATAGATGTTCTTGTTTATATATGGGCTAACTATACAACATATGTTGCAGGCATGCAGTCTACATTGACATATATATTATGTATATATGTAAATGTACTTCTAGTAGGTGACATTGTGATGGAGTACATTAATGGGAATAGCATGTATAGATTTCATAAATTCAGTCTTGCATAAATTTATTTTTTTATTGTCTATATTAAAGATATTTGCGATTGGAAATTTATCGGGTTTTTTTTAGAATAGATTACATCTTTGTGATAACTTTAAAACTATGTTAGATCAAACTATTTTGTTATATATTCTTGTCTATACCGTGTAGTTAAATGGTTTAATGTCACCAGCCGTTTTTATGTCGAACATATGTTCCTATAAAACTCATTAAATGCCGTTAATAATTTCGCTTTACGCATTTTAGAGAAGGAAAATATTAAAATATCGATCTTATTTTTAGTCGAAACGCATTTATGTTATATACCCTCTGCCCACCGTCCGTGTTAACAATTTGGCTTCTTCCAGGATTGGTGGATTTCAACCAAGTTGGTCAGGTATATTGTCTCCGTGTACTTATTCAAATGTGCCCAAATGAACTTGCATTATCCCAAAACAGGGTTGGGGAGAGTGAGGGTGGGGGTGGGGTCATAAAGCTATGTCTCGTTTGACTTTGTCTTCAGTGGCCTGACGGATTTAAATAAAAAATCTGGTCAACATGTTGTTTGATGCTGATTATTCCGATTTGCTCAAATTAAGATATTGGGACCCAAAGTGGAGTGGGGGTGAGGGAGGGGGATAAATGAAATATAGACATCTAGGCTTTCAACAAAGGAGAAATTATTATTAATATATGTATAGACCTTAGACAACGATCGGCCATTAAATCCCCTTGGGGCTCTTGGCTCATATGCTATACAGTTGATTGTTATGTTCGAATGGTGATTGTTGATATTTTATTACCACATAAAGTTTGCATAAAATGGGTATTTGAAGCTATTCATATGCTTGAATGACAATTATTCATATCTATATATGATTGACTTTATATTTTATTCACGCTTAATCATGTTTTATTTTTTATGCTCATTACGTTTTGCTATTCATTATTCATGCTGAAATTTGCTAGTGTTAATAGGGATTTCGTTTTTGGTACCTTAGAATTGTTATAGTTTTGGTGTTGAAGAGAATATTCGGAGGAACCGAATTCTCAAAGATCACAATAATTTATGTTATTTCTTTTAAAATTTAACTGCAATTAAAGATTTTTTTAAGGGATCTGTAAGATATGAACTAAACAAGAACAGACCCGCAATCACTCTATAGATATAAGGTTGGGATATTTTGACCATTTATCGTTTGGACAAGTTTACTTTAGTTTTCATTGCTTTATGTGTTTCGTGGATTCTATATCCGTGGGCTGTTAGATCGTGGTTTACACCAGGTAAGCATATTGAGCCGAACTATTTGGCACTTGTTTAGCGTCATTGATTTCTGCTGGGCGTGAGTAAACGTAATGAATAACACGGTTTCGTCAGTCCACCTCCTCAAACACGCTCTAAATCCTTTTACCCTATATTTTACCATAGGCAAATATTTTATAAGTCGAATAGTATGACCAATTCATCTGTCGATGGTGGGGTCAGATCGATCAACAATGCTCCTCATTCAACCTTTCTCAAAAGCTATATATAACCTGAGTCGACAACTTTCCAACAAACATACTGATAAGCCTTTGTAAATTTTCCAATGTCGACCTGACTGACCAGGATGCATCGAAATCAGGGTTCATAAAGTCAACAATTAAATATTTTGGGATCTTTTGTATTGTTCGGTATTTATTGCACGAGCATATATATTTAAATTCAAATTTCACGAAGCTAAAGAGAAAAAGAGAAATGGGGTTTAACGTCCACTCGACTAGGTCATTTCGGGACTAACATATAGTTCCATTTTATTTCTACAATTTGCTTGCGCGTAGGGATCTTTAGCAGTGGGAGGAAACCGGAGGACCCGGAGAAAACCCAAGAGGCTGGACAGGCGACCTTACTCCTTGTCGAAACCATGCCAGTTGACTCAATGACAGACCTTATGATACAACGCGTACGCGCTAACCATTCGCCCCCCTTCCCCATACACACACCACGAAGCTAAGATGATATGTTCATGTAATTAGGTTCCGATGAAGTTGTTTTTTTTTAACAAGATCTAAATCCCAGGTTGATAGTCTCCCGTAAGTACTGGATTGTTTTCTTTATATTGGACTCTTCGGGTTATTTTGAGTTTTATACAAGTGAGACTAATTTTCGTAAAAAACAGTTGGGTTCGTTCTCTTGCCAAACACATGGTCTTTATACAGCTTAAAAAGGCTGATCGTTGATTCCTGGCCAACTCAATGAACACGTGTAAAAAATGTATACTGCAAATTGTATTAGCTTGCACTGCAGGCACAACAAGCCAGTCGTTCAGTTATATCAGAAAAGTCAAAAATAATATGAACTATATTCATTTGTGGACTGTAGTTTTTAATTAAGCGTAACTGCAAGTATAACGCAATCTTTATGAAGAATTGACTGGCTTTTAGGAAAAAGATAGCAGAAGTATTATATCACAAAGATGGCGATGTGAATTGACTATGTAACTTTAAAGGACCATAACTTAATTGTTTTTAACGAAAGTACATTGGATTGTGTATCTTCTGAAAATAAATCTGGATTGAATTCTGGTATGCTGGGGCTTTAGACAATGACGTAACTACGATGACGTAACTACGATGGGTATGTTCAATCGGATCTTTTACAGTCGAATGTAGAGAATTGGGAAGGTAACACACTGTACAGACAACCTAATCGATTGACAAAACAAGGTGAATACTTAACAATGTCGACGAATTGATGATTCTCTGTTCTCTTACAAAAAGTATGTCTTTTTTTACCTGACTTTATATGTGAAGTTTCTGGATAGATAAATTAAGAGTGGCATAGGTTCATGTAAAGTAAGTTAGCTTATCACACCTGGAAATGGTGTTAATGTTGTGTCACCTGCTCTCAAACATTAGCTGTAACAAGTCTTGAAGATATTTAGCGGTTTGTGTCACACCTTTTAGATTTGTTGAAATAGTTAGTTGTAGTCAGTAACTTGACCAGGACCAGATAATTTATTAAAGGTTAGTGTTTATCTTGGTCCAACCAGTCTGCGCTATCACATTATGTGGACGTGGACGTAAAACCTAAGTAGTAGTTGGTCGTCCTCTCACGTTTGCGGGGTATATTGGTCAGCCATTTTGCCTTATTCTTTGTTCAGCAATATCATGTTTAACCATAGCATTTGTTTCAGGCTTGGGCGTTACTAACCATAAGTATGATCTATAATCCTATTATATTTAAAGGATATGCTTATATTATATAATAATATAAATATTAATACATCTAGTAATATTTATTTAATTAACTAATAAACCCTGTTTATTTCTCTTAGATTTCTGAAGATCTATTTTGTCGGATTGATCATTTTTTTTTATCATAAACAAAATGTTATTGAACTTATTCATAGTTTCTTATCATAATTCATATCCTCTTATACCATGTCTTAATTCATTATATTTTCTACTTTTTCCATCAACCATTCTTTTATTCATCTCATCATTTTTTCATCTTCAGATCTTTAAACAAATTTACAAGTATCAACTTTCAATGGTTTGATTTTTTTTTGTATTTTGTGACGTCAGTCTTGTACCATCTATTATATGCTACCCAGACAACATCTATCTATGTACGTCATCAATCTATTTCTGTTTCTTATGTTTCTAGTCTCTTTATTACTGTTTTTATTACTTGATTCAATAAATGAACCACCCGCGTATCAAGGGTCTTTATGTTGCTATATTATGGCGGGTTATGTATAGAGGACATTCCGATATAATATATTGACTATTGACTATAATATTGAGTATTGACTATAAGTCTAGCGATCATTACTACCGATTCTAAGTCATTAGAGACTAGTTATTTACGATGTATAATCACCGCAAGCCTATTTCAGGTGTAATTTTGTTATGCATCATTGAATTTGGTTTCATTAGCAATAACTGTCATGAAAAATTGATGTTCATATCCGTACATAAAATGATTTCGTGAGGGCATCGTTTCTGGATCCTTTATTGTATATCGAGCCAGTGCCGGATTTACCTATAGGCGTGGCAGGTCGAAGTCTACCTCAACATCTATATGGCACCTCCGATCACGGTGTATAATATTTCTGACACTGCATAAGCCTTTGTCACACGCACTATAATTGTCTTAAACACCCGCCGTCATCACGGGCTTTGCTGTAGGCGCGAGGGTGGGGTGTTGGCAGGGGTCTTTGCCTATAGGGTTGGCAAGTCGAAGCCTGCCTCCAGATCTATCGGGCACCTCCCGACCATGGTGTATAATATTTCTGACACTGCATAAGCCTTTGTCACACGCACTGTTGTCTTAAACGTCCGTCACCACCCTCGGCTTTTCTGTAGGCGCAAGGGTGGGGGGTTGGGAGGGGCCTTCTAAGTGGGGTAGCCTACCACCTCTTTTCATCTACACCCGACCCCGAATTCGAGCAAGATTAGTGGAGTATATAGAGTACAGCTACTGGCACGTTTAACATAGAGTCCGCAGGACAAATTGTTGACGTAGCATCATGTGAGCACACATTTTGAAGACACTGTCCACAATTTCTGATGACATTACACACATTGTGATGACAAAATATACATAATGTTTTAGACCCGTTAGTAAACAATGTAACTGATTAATTGTTTTTCTTTTCAGAAAAGGCCACAAGACGAGTAAGCAAGTGTAACCTAGTGCACTAAAACAGATCAAGCGATAGAAATAGGCTGTGAGCTGGAGATTAAACAGCAAGCCTTATTTAACTTCTAAACACAGTTTCCAACTTAAACATTAGAGTAACGTGACACAATACAAAATGCACGTTGAAGTTTCTGTCGCTCTCAACTTTGTGATATCGTATCTGTACAGTAAATTACCTCGCCGTAGAGTAGATATGTTAGCCGACGAACTCGAGAAGGGACTTAAGAAAAAGTTTGAGGGGCATTGGTACCCAGATACGCCTTGCAAAGGTTCAGGTTTTCGATGCGTAAAAGTAAATGGCGAAAAAGTGGATCCGGTCATTCTTATGGCCGCATACAACGTTGGACTTGACACAGATGAGATTAAAAATGCTTTGCCCGCTGAGCTGACCGTATGGATCGATCCTTCAGAGGTTTCTTACAGAATTGGAGAAAAGGGAACCATCAAGATATTATACAGTGAAAAACGTCAAGATGAAGAAGTGATTGATTCTATTGACTGTGAAGTGTCGATTGCCAGTAAAAGCTTCAACCCAGAAGCCCAATGTTTCAAGCCCATTGATTCATTGTCGTCATCACTAAGTAATCTTAGTTTATCACCGTCATCACCCAACTCATCCGGAGGCTGGAGCGCCTCCACCTCACCGTCACTCAGCCTCTTTAATTCGGCTTTACCAGTACAGAATCCCCCTGCTGCTCCTACTTTTAATCTTCATAAAGAACGCGTCACACCCAAATTCACTGCTGCATCTTTTGCTGCGACCAAATTTGGTTCTACAAAGCCTAAAACACACGTGAAGAGACCCACTCGTCTTTCGCCCACCGAATTTGGTAACTTCTTCCGCCAGAGATCCACCCCGGGAGAATTTATGCCTCAGCCCCAGAGACCCAGATCCTTATCTCCTCGAGATCCTCGAGTGGAATTCATGATCGACCAACAACAACGCATGATCATGACGCAGAATCGCCAACAGCTACACCCCTTCTCAGCTCAGTCACCCACAGCCAGTGGTGCTGGATTCCTCAATGATTTCTACCAGCACCCATCTCCAAGCCACTTGTCACCACAGACAGGGATGAGTCCTAACATGCCCGATGTGTTCTCGAGTCATTCACCCACCAACTCGCTCTCACCAGACGCTCCAAAAAATTTCATTGATGGATTTAATCTCAACACTGTCGCGTATCAAAATCATCTTCAACAGTTGCTGCTGGCTAATTGAATTGATGACGTCTAAAGACTACGCGAGAGACGGTGTTCCTTTTTAGCCCTTTTGCAGAGTTATTTATTTTTATATAGCTATCGATTATTGATTTATTGATTTAATATCTTTAAAATAAAAACGTAAATCCATATCATTATAAAGAAAAAAAAGGAAATGATTATTTTTATATAGACTTCTGTGTTTTTTGTACGTGACTGATTTTGTTTCCATTCTCAATAATATTATGTTGTAATTGGAGATGTGCCGATCTCAAAGTATGGACCACTTGTTGATTCTACGATACGTGAAGAGCAATAACATGGCTCAAGTTGTTTAGTGGTTTAAACTGACTCTTCAATAACTCTTGAAGAGATAACTTTTGCCAAAAATATAAGAGGACTTTGAGCAGCTATGGTGCTACGATGACGACAACAAGAATTGTGTTCATCTTATCGTCGAATGTATTTTGTGCGCAGCTTTCAGCAGGACGACAGTGACCTGGTGTCGAATTGGATAAGTTCATTATAGAAATAATTTGAAATCTTCTCTTATTAGTTTACACATAATTCTTTTTTTTTGATCATATATTATATTTCTGTGTTAATGTATGTACAAAAATTTGCTTCAATCTTTGTTGTTTCATAATATATACCTATGACTATATATATTATTTTGTGTAGGGATTCTCTGATTTTTGTTTTTGCAAATTTCTCATATCTGCATCAGGGCTATGTTTTAAAAGTAATAACAATAATATTCAACGTATGTTTCACTTTTGACGCAGCACGAGTCGTGCGAGGCCAACACTAGTATTGGGTGCACAAGAGTTGAATTTCTCACTGCTCCCTTTATAATAAAAATAGCCCAAGAGTCACCATCTCTAAAATCTGGATTATGGAACGAGACACATTTTTGAGAATACATATTGCCATGTAAATATTGTTTATTGTTTGTCTGGCACCATGGTATTCATACCTATTAAGACTGCATTATTAATACAATAAACGCTCCACATCAATCAATACGTTCATCACATCAGCTTAATTTGTCAGTATTATTTTCGTATCTGTAGTCGTCAATTCACGGTAGTGGTTAAGTATACTTTAAATGTTTTCTATCTAAATTTCTCTAAAAAAACAACAACATCTATTTGGATAGATAGATACTTCGATCAGAAGCGTGGACGATGGTTCATTTCTTGAAAATATTGTCTGCAGGCATGAAGGCTCGTACTCCCGATCATGTTAAGATCGTTCTGGCGCGCAGCCATCTTTGAAAAAAAGAATTATAAGACAAAATGTCCTTAGTGATTTTGCCCTCTAGTACACTACTCTTGCCTTTTGATTCTACTCAAAATCTTCACTTGTTTAATTTGTTCACTCTTGTGCATTTAAACAGATTGTTTTTTTCTATATGATGTATGAATTAATTTGTTGACTTTTAGAATTTTAGTTTTGTGAGACGCAGTTTTAAGGAGCTCGTGTCTTTCACAGAATAATTTTTTTGAGTATTTCTCTAGTCCTTGTATTATATTAAACATAGATATATTTCTTATTTAATTTAAGAAAAAAAGACAAATTTGTTGTATTACTGTTTTCCTCAAATAATTTTATACGGTGTTAAAAAGATATAAAAAAAAAATAACAGAGAAATATATTAATATATATATTCGTAAGTCTTTTTAAATAGTTATTATATATATATTATACATATATTAAATGTTAATCGGGTACATATTATAAAAGTTAAATGGTTTTTATCTTTTTCTACTATATTTGAATCCTTAACGGAGATAATATGATAATTTTGTATTTCCTACCTATATCATATTGTTGGCTGTATGTATATATAAGTAATAGAATTAGTTTATTTCATGATACATATATAATATTATCCTGACTTCCTCTAAGATGGCCACATGGTTGATTTTTTCTATTATTGCGTGCAATATGTTAAAAAAAAAAAACGATGAAAGACAACTATTTGTAGTTTATTGTCTTCTATTTGAGAAGAAATCTCGTCATTCGTAATGTTTATATTGTTACATATTTTTAAGTTTGTAATAAAAAATAAATTTTGACATACAAAAATAAAGTACGAGTCTGTTGTTGTTAAAGGAAAAATATATAATGTGGCCGACAATCTGATTAAAACACAGATCCTATTTCGTTTCGTTTTTATAGTTCAAAATTTCGTTTTACTTGTCTGGAAGAGTTGTTATCATTGACGTGTTCTGAATGATGTGAGCTTTAGGCGTGTTTTGCACAGAACTGTGGGTAATCCACTAGTAACATCAATACTGATTGGTTAATCAAATGTTTGACGTCATAGGGTCAAAAGCCGCTCGTATAACCTCTGACGCGACCTATCGCTACAACCGGTCAGATCTTCATGTAGTGTAGGCCATCGAAAGTATAAAAAAAACGAAACGAAATATTGATCTGTATTTTAATCAGATTGTGACCGACTGATCTGGTGCATTTACCGGGGTTTTAGTAGGGTTCCAAAATGTGTCGGAAATATTATTTTTCGGGCAAAAATAACACATTTTCGGTCATCAGAGATTTTAAGTGCTAAATTACTCCTCTGGGTCAATTTTCATCTCCAAGAATTCCGGACAAAGCTCGAGCAAACAGACAACAACTTTATTTGAACTATTATAAATCGAAAAGAAACAGGGCCTTTGTTTTGGTCAGGTGGGGCCTTTTGGTGACTACTTCAATTTGAAATACAAAAATAAGTAACATAGTATGGTATATAAGCAATATACCCAGTTGTAGAGCAAATCATTGCACAATTACCAGCGCATATACATTGTATATTCATACACCTGAAATAAAAATGGAATGGGTTTAACGTCCTAGACGGGCATACACCATACAGTGTGCTATGAGGGAAATTTTGCCCGGACAGCGGCACTATGGCCTACTCTTATATCGAATTCCAACTGCCAAGGGATCTTTTACGTGCACGCCAATGTACACGCCACTGACGTCGAAAAACCCCGATGAACTTTCTCGGCCAATAAAGGGGGGATCGAACAGTTCTATTTCCCCAAGCCTAGACAAAACAACTACTTGTTTTGATAATGATGTCAAACATTAGAAAGGAGTGAATACTATTAATTGGCTGTGTACCAATGTGTAATGGTATATACCCTCAAGAAGTTCATCTTAACATTTAGCAGTATAACAATGTTATATCGTCAGGGGCAGATGGAAAAGGTCAGCGAGAAGGCATATTTCTTTAAGTAATTTCTGAGACGGAGATTTATATGGTTGCTTGGCTAGGCTCAATAAAATCCCTTCACCATGTATCAGAATAAAACCGGAAATGGAAGCATATCACATAATTCGACAAAAACCACTGGAGGGAGAGAGAGAGAAATGGGGTTAAACGTCCACTCGACACAAACTAGGTCATTTCGGGACTAACATGTTTTTTTTTAAATTTTATTTCAATAATTCGCTTGCGCATAGGGGTCTTTAGCAGTGGGAGGAAACCGGAGGACCCGGAGAAAACCCACGAGGTTGGACAGGTGACCCTACTCCTTGTCACGTACAACCGAAACCACTGGGGACACGGTTAGATCTATCTGATAAGGCTTGGTCAAGAATGACGAGATGTAAACAGCGCTAGAGCTGATTCTAACCCTAACCCTAGCCCTAACCCTGGACCTAGCCCCAGGGCTGGGGTAATGGTAATGGATAATGGTAATGGAATGTAATCATTACTTTTTGTAAGTAATGGTCATGTAATGAGTAATGGAAGATTTCAAAAGTAATGGATAATGGAAATGTAATTAATTACATTCCCAAAATCATGCAATGGTCAATTACATTTCAATTACTTTTCAGTTACATTTTATGGCATATATAAATATTTCCAATATGACGAGCCTCAAATTTTATAGCACCAAAGAAGTAATGAAGTGTATCTGACACAAATCCAATTCATTATAATTCTAAAAAAAAGATTTAAATCAGTTTTAAAAAATTATAAGAAAAATAAGAAGGCATTAAACATTTTCTATTATTACTTTTTATGTAGGAACCTTTTTTAGACATGTAACCTAAGAAGTGGATTTCTGATAAGATGTATATTATAATCAAAGATTAGTACTAATTTGCAGCCAATCACTCAGTCAATCAATCAGTCAGTTAGATTAAAAGACAATAAATAGTCTTACTGCACTTTAATCTTAATCTCAAGGTAACAAATGACAAACCAAACAATGACCTTCAAGTATCTCATCATTTTATGGTTACTTAAAACTAATATATTTTGTTCTAGAGTCATGCTGAGAAAAACTATTTTTTTAAAAATTACTTAAAAGAAAATACAGTTAATTAACTATAGTTTTGATTCATTTTTCAAGTCATACAGTGAAAATGTCTGTTTTGTCACCACTGCCCGTCACTAAAAAATTTGCCTTGATGTTATAATTGCTAGAAATAATAATTCATAAACAAATATCTATTAAGAGAATCAAGGATTATTTTGAGTTTGATTTTGTAGGTATTCATGGCAGAAAAATAAGGTTGTCTTTTTAATTTCTATGAAAAATGTTTTTTATTTATATAGTCATAAAGTAATGGGTAATGGTAATTAATTACTTTCAATGTAATGGGTAATGGTAATTAATTACATTGCTAAAAATGAGAAAGTAATTGTAATGATTACATTTAAAATGTAATGGTAATGTAATTAATTAATTGCATTGGCAATGTAATTAATTACATTGGCAATGTAATGGCCCCAGCCCTGCCTAGCCCCAATGCTTACCCTTACAATAACCTACAATCTCGCCAACCATCACGTTCCCTAACGTTATTTACATCTCAGCGAACTTGACGAAAATTTGGCTGGCCTTAAAAAATAGATTTAGCCATGAGGACACCACTTGGCGTTATATGAATACCTCTCCTCCCTTGTGTCTAGTAAAATGCACTAGACTGAACTGACCTTAGACCACAATCGCCGATTTGGCTTGCATGGACTGTTGGTATTCACGAGAATTCAGTTCGGAAAATTTTTGTTCGTTCCTTTTTTTCTTGTTTTTTTTTATTGCCGATTTCAATATTTATTTAAAGATAAAAAAGAAGGACCGCGAGTGCAACGGAAAACTTTCCATAAAACAAACTGCCTCTTCACTGAGATGGCTTGACCGTGGAGCCGAATGGTCTAAACCCCTGGGCCCTTATTCACGAAAACTTAAACTGAGATACAACCTAAATTTTAAGAAATACTGCAACTTCATTGGATGTATGCAAATTGATTTTACTGGTCAGCCAATCGAATTGTAGTATTTCTTACAATTTCGATTGTATCTTAGTTTAAGTTTTCGTGAATAAGGGCCCTGGAATTAGCCACTCGCAGTTCAAGCATAAAGATATAATACATGTATTTTAAATAAATACATATTTTACGATGTATAAACTACACATGTTCAAGCCCTTATCGTTTTTTGCCTATATAGAGAGATACCAATGATTTTGTCCCCCCCCCCTTCCTCTGTTCCTATCTGGAACGCTATTAACTTCAAATTATCACAATTACAAAAAAAACCAAAAAAACAAAAACCAAAAAACAAAAAAACAATCTGATTAAAACACAGATCCTATTGCGCTTCGTTTTTTTATAGTTCCAAATTTCGTTTTACTTGTCTTTACTACACTAGGATCTGGAAGAGTTGTTATCATTGACGTGTTCTGGATGATGTGAGGGATTAGCTAATGAAACGGTCTGTTACGGCGAGCTTTTGGCGAAAGGTGCATGGAACTGTGGGTAATCCACTAGAAACATCAATGGGGATTAGTTAATCAAATATCTGGCGTCATAGGGTCAAAAGCACGTATGAGGTTCACCATAGAAAACTTGAGATACACAAACTGGAAGTAAAAACCGTTAAACATGCAATTTTCGTATGACCTCTGACGCGACCTCCCAAAGCAACTGGTCAGATCGTCATGTAGTATAGACCATCGAAAGTATACAAAACGAAACGAAATATAGATCTGTACTTTAATCAGATTGAAAAAAAAAGACACAAAAGATCTTTATACAATCCCACCACATATTTTGTTTTCCAAAATATAGACGAAAATATAACAAAAAGAAAACGTGTTTTGAAAGTTGATGAGCGACAATGCTTTAATAACCTGACTTTATATATGGTTTTATGGTAGCGTGTGCACCAGCACATATAGATGGCCGAATGGTTAGCGTGTAGTTTCGATTTCCCGGTTGTACGTGACAAGGAGTAGGATCGCCTGTCCAACCTCGTGGGTTTTCTCCGGGTCCCCCGGTTTCCTCTCACTTCTAAAGACCCCTTACGTGCAAGCGAATTATTGAAATAAAATTGGACCATATGTTAGTCCCGAAATGACCTAGTTTGTGTCGAGTCGACGTCACCCCCATCCACATCTCTCCCTCTCTCTCTCTCTCCCTCTCTCACACACACACACGTCTAGAGAAAGCTATCCTGATATTGTTTTCAAGGCGCCAGCCATTCGTCTATGTGAGATAAATTGAAATGTTGGCAACAGGCTGATGGCTGATGACGATATTTGTTTTGTCCTACTTAATCAAACTTTTAGTTTTGTTTATCTAGGCATTAAATACATGTATAACATTGTTATATGCACTTAACATTTCTCCATATAGTTCTTTATTTAAAGCGGCTATTGTTACCTTAGTTAAATTTGAATAAGGTTTTTGATTGTGTGTCTGCTGTCAGGATACCGAATGCTGTACACCTTGTTGGGTCTCTAATGATTCAAATAAAAACGTACACATTTTGTCATTACATTTGCATTCCTAAAATATGTCGCCTGGTTATTAATAACAAACTTACAAATCTCAAAATATCATTGGCGACAACGTGTGTACATAGAATGACGTTATTGATATGAAATTTACAATACACAAATATTAACCAATATTGGTGGCGCTTAAAGCTACAGTGAAATGGTTTTAAAAAATAAACATGATGAAGAAAAAAGAAAAAAAAAACAGATTGAAGTTTGTTTGCTTACAGTATATTTGACTTTTCCAGCGTAAGATCGTGAATCACGTGATATAACTCGTGCCGA